TTTTAACGGTTAACGTTTAGTTCCGAACCTACGTCGTTCGTCACGGACGAACTTAACGTTACGCCCTTCGGTAAGTACTACAAACGACGTTGTTCGTCTTATCTACCCTACCTCTCTCTCTCTCTCTCCCCTCTTTCTTTCTTGCAATTGTCTCTCTACTTGCCATTGCAACGAAAGACCAGGGGCATTCCAGACATTAGGCCATTGAATCTCAAAACCCACAACAATGGTGCCCCTCTGCTTCATTACAAACTGTTACAGTGATTTTTGGGAGCGAGAGGGACTGATTCGATGGACGTGAAACATGTTTGACTGCATTCTCAAACCCCCACAAACCGCTTTACAAATCCCAAAACCACCTCTCATCGCGCCCAAAACCACCCAACCAAAAACCGCTTAGTCACACACCACTCTCTGGTCTGCATCCGTACTGGGCCTGCTCCATTGGCTGAGTTGGCATTAATGGCCACTACAGTGAAAAACTCCACATTATTGCTACAAAAGGGCTTCAAATTGAGAAAACCCAACTTTTTTAGAGAGAGAAAACAGCTATTTGCGACTATTTGCGATGGAATGGGACCGGAAAACCGCTCCATTTGACTCAGGGGACCCCATGGTGTTTTTGGGGAAGGCTCATGAAGAAAACCCATTATTGATTTCTGGTTTTAATGGTGGAAAAGGTGGTTTGTCCTCCTCTGTTACCATAGACTTGAAGCTTGGAAGGTTGGGTGATTGTGAAAGTGGTTTTGATGAGAGGCTTACGAAGAAAACAGTGGTACAGGGTAAGAGAGGGAGAGGGGGAGTTTCAGGGGTTCCTCTTTGTCAAGTTGAGGGCTGTAATGTTGATCTCAGAGCTTCAAAGGATTATCATAAGAGGCATAAAGTTTGCGATATTCATTCGAAGACGGCTAAGGTCATCGTTAAGGGAATTGAGCAGAGGTTTTGTCAACAGTGTAGCAGGTTTGCTTCTTGGTTCCTTCTCTTTTCTGTGTTAGTGTGTTTTGTCTTCGGAAATCTTTTTGTTTTCTTTTTTGGCTGAGGCTTTTTTTGTGTGAGCTTATGGGAATTTTGGTCATTTGACTGTATCTTTGTTTAAGAAATTCTCTGTTTGACTGTGTGTTTGGCTATTTGGAGCTCTCTCTCTCTCTCTCTCTCTCTCTCTCTCTCTTCTCCTATTTTATTGGGTTTTTGGACCAGTTATGTGAGTTCCCTTTTTAGGTGTTTTCAGCTTGTGTTTTTTATTGAATTGCTGGTGGGTTCAATTGACCGGAAGTCTCTCTTTCTCTCTCTAAACCCACAATTTCTATTTTTACTTTTATTTTTATTATTTTTAGGTTTTTGGTAAATTTCTGGGATCTAGTTCTTGAATATGTTGCGTCTAGTTGAATTGTTACTGGGTCTAATTTGCAGTGGAACTCTTTCAGTGTAATGAAACTCTAAATCTTTCTATGCGAAATAGAACTCACATCATCTCTCTCTGCTTCCTTTATGGGATTTTACTAATTCTTTAATTTGGGTTGATTTGAAGTTTTGAACTGTTCTCTCTCTGCATTAGCTCTTTGGGATTCTAGGGGTATTTTGTCTTTGGGTAATTTGGGTTGATTTGAAGTTTTGAACAGCCTGGTGGCTTGATTAGGACACTCTCCATCTCTCATTACTTAAATTTCTTTTGGAGTTTTACTAATATCTTGTAAGACATGTTTTTTTTATTTTTGGAGTCTTTAAGTGAACTATCACATTTCTCTCCCACTGTCATTCACTCTTTATGCCTTTCCTGTGAGATTTCAAGCTTTTTCTATACTTTAAATTTTTTATGGCTTAGGGTTTCCGGTCTATTGTAAATAGTATGGGTTTCCGTGAATTGGGACCTCTTTTCTCTTATTCATTCATTTGTTTATTCGGTCCTTCACTTTATGCCTTTTTTGTGAGAATTTACTGATTCTTTATGATTCCACTCATGGGTTGTTTGGGTTTTCTGCGACATGTTGGAGCCTTGAATTGGAATCCCCCACCCTCTCTCTCTCTCTCTCTATCTATCTTCTTTCTCCCTCTCTCTCTGCCTTCTTGTAGGAATTTACCGATTTTTTATTAATTCAATTTTTGTTAGTTGGGTTTTCTGTTAGAGTACTGGATTGGAATGTCTCTTTCTATCTGTGCCTTTTTGTAGTAATTTGCTGTTCTTTATTTAATTCGATTGTGGGTGGTTGAGTTTTCTGTTGGATTCCTGGCTTGGAATCTCTTTCTTTCTCTCTGCCTCTTTGGGAGATTTTACTGAATATTTATTAATTCAAGTTTGGTGGTTGGATTTTCTGTTGGCTTCTTGGGTTTGAATATCTCTCTCTTTCCCCTCATATTAACTATTTAAGGGGACGCCATTGTTGCGCAATTCGACTCGGCCAAGGTACTTGGCCCTTGGCCTAGCTGTGTGATGCCCTAATTAAATCAAATGAAAGGGAAAATTTTCTAAATTTTTTTAAAAAACTAAAAAAGCATTCAATGGTACACTAAGTTAATGGAACTCATTAGAAGGTGAGCAAAGATGAAAGAAAATTATCCCAAATCATCCTAAAAATTATCAAAATCATCTAAAAAATTATTTCTACAATATATTGTTCATTTCTATTTTTAATTTTTTAACATTTTCTTTAAACTGTTTTAGGGGCCGTTTGTTTTTGTTTTGGGAGAGGGAGGGGCGGGGGCGCAAGTTGGAGAACCGCACATGCCCCAAATTTGCCTCGCCACTAGGGTGAGGGTAAGTTATGCGGACACGGCAGAGTCACGGAATCACTTGTTTTAAGCATTTGTGTATTCATCCTAAACTTTCTTCTTTAGGAGTTGTTCTTTCCTTTTAACCATGCCATGGTTTTTTCTGCAGTTTTTACTACTTATTGGAGTGAGTGGTTTTTATTTTATTTTTTTGCCATTTGGGTACCTTTTTGGTTTATTTAATTCTCATTTGTGCTATTTTCTTTCCTTTTTCAGATTTTATGCAATTTATTTTGTATTATTTATTATTTGGGTGTTTTCAGGCATTCAAATGCAGTTACGAACGCACTGCTTCTTTGCCTTTTCATCTTTTTCTTATTTTTTGTCATGGCATCTTTTATAGTTTGTGTTGGGACTTTTTATGTCTTGGATTCCCTAGTTTTAAATACTAAAGTAACTCAATAAATATGTTTTAAATACTAAAGTAACTCAAAATGCTTGTATACACCAATTAATCAGCTGGAGTTGAAAAGCTGAACATAGTTATACACTTGTCACAAAATAGTGGCCTAATAGATGAGATCAGTGTTGTAAATGTCATGGTTACAACTCAATGAAATTAATTTGGGAACATAGTGGGGCCAAGGTTGTGGTGGAGGATGATCATTAAAATAAGAACTACTATTGTGATCTTGATAATATATCTGTTTATTGGCAGATTAATTGGGGGGCTGGTTGTGAGTTTCATTCGCTTCGCAAATTTAATGTAGCTACAAAGAGATTATGCACATTTTGCATAATCTAGTGTGTACTTTGCCCTTAATAAAAGATTGAGTTCGGTGCTTTTCTCTATCACTAGTGATCCAACATGTGACAATGTCATTGCAGATTTCATTTGTTGGCGGAATTTGATGACGGTAAACGAAGTTGCCGTAAACGCCTCGCTGGCCACAATGAGCGTCGTAGAAAACCACAGCTAGAAGCACGCTTAGGGAAATCCGGGAGGTTGCTTCCAGCTTATCCAGGTATTTCAACTTTTTAGGAAAAGTGACGGTGATTTCATTGCTGTGATAATGACAAATGATGTGATTTATCCATTATCACTTTGATTCAAGAATATGGGGTAAGGTATAGTTGTTGCTTAGGATTTTAATTTTCTTTGAATGTGTATTGCTTTTGAATGTTGAATAGAATGTTGGGCAGTCAAGAAACACCATATCCATAGAATATGTGTGGCTGGGATGATGATGTTGAGATGGACGAGTGGCATGACAAGAAAGGATAAAATTAAGAATGACTACATCCGAGAGAGCTTAGGGGTGGCTGCAATGGGTGATAAGATGTGGGAAAATAGACTTTAGGTGGTTTGGTCGTGTGCAGTGTGCCAGCATTGACCTAGAACAACACCGATTAAGAAAAGCCATTCGGCTTAAGTGGAAGTCCATAAAAAGACAAGGAGATGGCTCTAAAGAACATGAATGGAAGCACTGAGAAAATATATTGTAACTTATGGTCTAACTGATGGTCTGGCACTTGATAGAGTAGATTGGCAGAACATGAATCATGTAGTGATCCCAAATAGTTGGGACAAGGCTCAAATGATGATGATGATGTATATTGCTTTTGAAAATTTGTATTCCTTGAATATTAGATCCAAGTAAATATATTCTTGAAAGGTGTATATTAATCAACGATTGGGGAAAGGAAGCCAGGTCATACTTGACTGCTTTGGATGATATTTGTGCATGTTTAGTCCCTTAGTGATTATTAAAAAGAAGTCGTGCTTTCAAAAAGAAGTTACGGGTTCAGAAATGTCTGTTAACTATTCCTAGTTGTAGTGGAATTAGAAAAGACTAGTAACTTACAAATGAATATCAGAAATATACACCTAATGGTTGTTCTTGTCCATGATCAAATAAATGCCACATGGGGCTGGAACCCATGAGTTCATTGTGTGAACTCAGTATTCAAACTTGGTCTTCATTGTTGACATTTCTACGATAGATCCCATGTTTGAGAATAACTTGTGAACTACGCAAAATTAATAAATAAAAAATCAGTCAGTTATGAGCCTCGTGACTTATTATTCTTGAGTTCATCGCATGAACTCAGTTGTGACTTGTTATTCATGTGCTTACTGATTAAGGGATATAATGGAAAAATCAAGCCAGCATAAGAGCTCCCTCGTTTGAAATTGTGAGCAATGCGGTTGAAGTTGCTGAATTCAAAATAAGTTATGAACTTATTTCTTGTCTGAAGTTTCTTGCCTCTAGGCTATTCTATATCCCCAAAATTGCTATCATTTGAATCACTCGATACACATGCATAGATTTGTTATTCATGTGCTTACTGATTAAGGGATATAATGGAAAAATCAAGGCAGCTTAAGAGCTCTCTCGTTTGAAATTGTGAGCAATGCGGTTGAAGTTGCTGAATTCAAAATATGTTATGCACTTATTTCTAGTGTGAAGTTTCTTGCCTCTAGGTATTCTATATCCCCAAAATTGCTATCATTTGAATCACTCGATACACATGCATAGTTCTTACTTTCATAGTTTACATACACAACTCTCTCTTATTGAATTATTGAAAAAAGACTCCCTACTTTACAAGTACCTCTGTACATTTGTGTGAGTGAATTAGAGGCCATTCACATTCACGGAATATTGTATGGATGAAAAGTTTGCATTTGAACAAGTTTGAAGTGCCATGCGGGCCCCATAGCATTTTGTTTTGAGTTCCATTATCTCCTGGGAGGGACCCGTGATTACATTTGTACGAGTCTTTAAAATGTGCAGGTCAATATTCCTTTGAGGTTGAGTACAGGTGAGATTTAGTTCTTCAATAGAAATTCATATAAACTATCAATTTGAAGTAGTGTTTGCTTGTATCCAATTAGTCTGCTTACATGCTTTGTAGTTTGATAATCCAAAATAACTATATAATAAAGCTTTCTGTAAGATGTTATGTGTGACATGGGTTTCAATACACTTGGTGTCTGTTTAATCCTCCTAAGGCATACATTCTTAGGAGCTATAGAGTCCTAGACTACTTTGTTAGCTGCATGGTTCTCAACTTTGTGGACCTTGTTAATTTAAAGGGAATCCAAAGAGAGGAAGACCTTTATATTGTGGGGAGTGAACCTTCAGTTGATGCATCAAAATTTTGAGTGAACAGTTGATGCAAGAGACCTGCATCAGAAAGAACGGTCTTTCACATTGGTTGCTCCGTGCCTTTTGATGATTGAGCAACTTATACTTGGAGACGTGGTGGTTTTCCTTATTCATTTGAGATTTTGTTTCTCCAATAATTTTGTCTTATCCTATCAAGAAAGCAAAAAGAAAATTGTCTGATCCCCAAATTGTCAAAAGAGTGGGATACTTGGGAGACATGTGAGATTGCTTTTCTCCAAAAAGAGGCCCTGAAAAATCATGTCTAGCCAATCAAACTCTTGTTTTCTAAATTTTAATTCTTAAAATAAAATGAAATGTGTCATTTCATTACCAACGGAATACTATTTTGAGACAAGCACCTCAACCAGGGTTGAATCATGTAGACTGTAGACATAAAACAAATTCTAGGTATCACCCTTGGGGAAACTATATTCGTTGTTGAGTTGTCTTTTGGAACAACAGTACTAGGAAATTTTCCCACGAAGGGTCCAGATTTTGAAGCTCTCTTTTCCAACATGATTCTCGGGCATTTTTGGTAACCAAAGACGGAACAGGTGCATCTTCCTCTTGAATCAGAGACACTGGAGGATTGTAATGGTAAATTTTTACTTTGGTTTGAGTAGCAATGACAAGGTAATACTCTTTTTTGAAGAATGGTTAAGATTGCCATGATAAGGTAATACTCGTAGTACTCTTTTTTATACTCGTTATTAATGGTAAATTAATAACCTCCATGCCATGATAATTGCTTTCCTTTTCTATTCGTATTTATGCTAAACTTTTGAGAAGAATCCCATGCATAGTAGTGAAATCAGAAAACTTGTGTTGGAATATCTATTATTGCTGACCAATTTTTAAATGTTTTCATACTTGGCAACCTATTTATATGAGTTATTATAAACCAAAAATATAACTCTTATAAATAGGTGAAAACCTTTAATAATTGATCATTATCAATAGATTTCCAAGCATGTCTTGTTAATCCCAAGCCTGGAGAAAGGAGGTGGATTGTGTTAGGTTGGCAGTCCGCGTAAAACTTTTGCTACATCTATTTAATGAATTCTAAAGAGCAGAATGGTGGAACATGATTCATGGAGCTGGCCGTAAATAGTTAGGATAAGGCTCAAATGATGATGATGATGATAATAATAAACAAAAATACCAAATTATTTGTATTTGTCCCCAAGCATGTGAATAGGCAAGAGACTCATTAAAAGCAGCCATTAATAGTGTTCTTCTATTTAAACAGCGATGTCAAGAACTCCAACTAAACAAATATAGGAAATGAGTACGAATCGCTAGCTGCCATATTCCTAAGGTGATGATCATGAAACTTGCAATCTGAAGAAAATATGTGTTGACTTGTATGTTAACTTCATTTGGTAGACCCTATGCGATCTCACTTTGGAAATGAAATCTTATTCATAGCAGGTCAAATAAAATATGCTCAGAAAAAAATATATTCTTTTACCAATGCCATCCTGTTCGCTGGAAATGGTTCTTAAGACTCTTTCCTATTTTTACAGGTGACAGGTTCCATGGGTCTTCCTTAATTACAAGAACTTCCTTTATATGCCCTGAAATTTTTCCTCATGCCATTGATGTTGGCCTACCTGAACCCAAGTGTGGAAACGGCAACTGGTTCAAACCCATAAAGACAGAGGAGGATTCCATTTATAACCCTGAGGCCCATAAGCCCATCACCAATAACCAATCAATCCTCAAGCCTCCTTTCTCTCTCTACAACTTCGGCAACTACAAGAACAACCCTTGCTTGCAAGACATAACAAGTTTTGATGCACCACCAACCATTGAAGGCTTGTCCAGGGTCGTCGATTCCGGTTGTGCTCTCTCTCTTCTGTCATCTCAATCATGGAGCCCCTCAACTGACTCATCAGGCATTCCTATAGCTCAACCGTTGATCAATTTAGGCGGTCAAGCACCTTCTCAATTCAATGTGAGTCAATTCTCTGATATTGGTCATTTTACCGACAAGATGATCTCTATCAACTCTCAGACTTCGACGAGTGTGGGTTCGAGTAGGTTCTCTTCATCAGGAATGAACTCTATGGAGGATGAGCACTTGGGGGCTGTTTTAGTCTCAGACTCGAGTGATGCTACTGATTTTAAGGTGAAAACAGAGATCATGTTTCATGAACAACAGAGGCAGGTGAAACAGGGGAATGAGCTCTTCCACTGGTATCCTGTTACTTGAAGTCGGTCTTCCATGTTTCTCTCTTGGTTGGTAAGTATTGTATTTCCTATGTATTATTCTCTCCTATAGTTGTTTATCTGTGTATCTTTGTAGTTGTCTCTATTAAGATGTGGTGGTGATTTGTCATGGGGTACCTAGGTATGCTTGTGATCAGTGACAGGTAATTAAGATCTGGGTACCTCTAGTTCCACAATAGTGCAGAAACCATTACATGGGATTTCTAACTTTTGTTTTCTGTACCTGTGTAAGCAAGAGGGTAACAAGTGCTAGTTGCCTGATTCCAAAGAACCAATGGTTTCCTAGTTATTTCTTTAACCACTGGCAATCTGTTATTGTTTCCTTTAGTAGTAGTGCATGTCATAACCACCAAAATCACTTGAATTCTTGTTTTATTCGAAGCTTGCAGTGACACAGGATAAAGTATATGATGATCCTTATGATTATGATAAGAAATTGGTCATGAGGTTCATCACCGCTCATTATGGTGATGAAGGAAGAGTAGGATGCACAACTGAACTAATGATATGCTTGGTTGGACCCCATTGTCTCTCCATCAGCATACTGAAGGGACCATGATGTATATACTGTTATCTTGATGATATGTATCGTGTTGTACTTTGCAAAGTCTACCGTCTTATATTTGCGCATGTTATTGTTAATGTTTTCTTAACACTGACAAAAAAAAAAAAGACAGAGAAAGAAAGAAAGAAACAGAATAATCAGGTTCAGCCTCATGTTTTGATGGTTATTGATTCTTCAACAGTTTATGTGGCAGATCATGACTAAGCCATTCTCCTTGTGGACTATGTGATTAGAGAAGATTAATGAATAAAACAAATTCTCCATGAGACGTGGAGCTGCTTCACAATGAGCTGCAACAAAAGAAAATGAGGAACTGGAGTTGAGTTTTGAAGATTATCACCAAAGTGAGGCACTTGACCTTTCTGACCATTGTGGGGTCAGGATTGAATTGCATGCCATATATGTGGCATCCCTGCTCCCACATGTATTAGCACCTATATAGAAGTGTATATTGCTTTTCTTCTCATTCTCATTTTCCATGGGAGATGGGAATTCATGATGTTCTATTCGGTTATTGTGATCCTTTCTGTGCCTCTTGATCTCCCTGTGAGCTGTCTTGATGTATTATTTATGCATTCATGTATCAGTAGGTATCAATGAAGATATTATACTGTGCTCTCTTGAGGAGGATACGTCAGCTATGCTCCCTATGCATGATCCATTAGCCAGTATTGGTTGGAGGGTGGAGTACATATAGGATGTGTCTGTACTATTAGACAAACTGCATGATGACTCCTCTGTCGAACAAATATTGGATGCTGAATATCCTACCATGGATAAGCTTCAGTACCCTAGAGAGCATTGTATACCCTGGATTACCTTGTTGTTATGTCAGCATACATTCATATTTAGTTGCATGCTAACATACTATTAATCTGAACCCCATATTTAATTGTATGCTAGCATACTATTAATCTGAACCCCAGTAGCAAATGCATCTTCTAGTGCACTATTTCTCTATTATGGTGTCCACAGGAGCTACTTATTTTGTTGCATGAGTTATTTGGTAGATCTCTAACAACATATTTGAAGACAGTACGATCAATATTCAAGAAGGATTATGCTAATAAGCATGAGCCTTTAACCACAAAAGGGAATTGGAGTCGATAGCTCAATACGTGCAAAGTGGTCTAGATTTAACTTTCTTCTCCTTTCATTTATTATATTACTATTGCACATATCTCGTGACTGAGATCTGAAAGAGTTCTGAATCAATAAAGAGTACTTCAAGCGATGACTAGCAAAGCTTATTAGAAGGTAAGTTTATTGGCAACTGTAGTACTGAAAGCAATGAAAAACTTTGAATGCTTCATGATGAATTCCATCATTAATGTAGTGGGTAACACACCTGCGTTTGTTGTGCTAGATTTCGAAAACTTGTACTGATGTTAGTGCTTGGACAAAGTTGGTTTGCAACACTGTTAAAAAATCTTTCATAATATTTGATATATCTACAGATGGGATGGTGGGTAAATTGGTTTTTGCAATTTAATTTTCAAATGAATATCCTGTTATATCTGAACTTTTTTAAAAAATAACACTCCATAACTCAGTATATTCGTTGTAAACTTTGTTATAACATTTCCAAATATGATCTTGTACTGCATTTTTTCCACCCCTGATTTCACCTCCCCCAATATTGTACATCAAAATGGATTTTTTTAAGATGATATTCCTCAAGATTTAGTATTTAAGTATGAAATTACTAGGAAAATATTTTTTTAGAACAACCAAGATGAAAAAAAGAAACCGCTTTTTTACGGTTCTCAACTTCATTATCTGAACAATTTGTTTAAAATGAAGCCCAGCATCGGTCGGGTTTTCCCAATTTCAAACCTAGGAGTACAGTCAAGTAGAATGCAGTATATTTTCAATCGACAATGGTACTTTCATTTTTTATACTTAAAAACACCTGACCATGAGATGAATGCTAAAAAGGGCTTGGTGCAGCGGCCTATCAATGCTCGTCAAATGCAGGTCTCCCAAACACTCTCTTATCGCAATCTGGTATAAAATAACCACTTGCCTCGGATCGTATTTTTTCCATATTGCTTCTCACGGGGAAAAATTAAGTATAGGCAAAAAAATAAATCGGGAAAAAGAAAAAGCTCTTTTTTTTTGTTTTAGTTTGCCCCTGGTCCAATATTACCATGATAGGTTTTAGATTTATTTTTTAATTTTTTTTACAAAAATAGAGTTGTCGGACATTTAAGGTCTCTTCTTGGCCGGTCTGGTGCCCGAAATAGCAAAAAACCTAGTCTGATATTGAGGACATCGTATTGCTCACTGATTTGAAAAAATCTAAACCCACTAAGCTATCCGATATCTGAAATATCAGATTTGTGAAAAATTAAAACAAATAAATTAAAACTAGGAAAAATAAAAAAACCGCAGGGGGACCAACCTTCCGTATAATATTTGCCAAACAAAAAAGAAGCTTTTGCATATTCTTATTTTGTGCCGTACATAAATTTTTTCTTATCACGGTTATAACAACCACTTGCTGAGGATCGCATTTCTTACCCACTGCCTCTTGAATGTCTTGTCTTTAGCTTACATGAACACACCGATTGATTGGCTTTGAAAAGGCAAATCACAGTGTTTCAAAGAATAAATTGGGCTACTTGCGAGACTTCTGATCCCTATTCAACCAGTCCAACTTGGGATTATGTAGCTCCTTGAGTCGGAAGGGCGGTCTCCTGATCCTGAGTTGGCTCAACAATTTTAGGTCACTACTTCCAATAGGAAATGTTTTTGGTGTGTCACTCGTTTGCCTGCACTTGGGTTCATCCGAGTACCCTCGATTTGTGTATAAAACTTAGGTTGTGCAAAAAAATAAAAAATAAAAAAATTGTTAAACATATAGGAATGATGTTTAAGTTTTTTCACATGATTTTGATGTTTCAGGAAATGATTTGTAAGTGTTTTTGCTATAATCCCTATTTTTATGTCCTTCGGATTTTTTAAAGTCTCCTTAGCTATAAATAAATTTGTAGATCTATTTTTAGGCTTATTTGAACTGTTAAGGTTGCTTTTAGTTTTATTTGCCTCTCCTACTTTTATTTTATTTTATATATTTTGTATTTTCAGTTTTTTTAAACCTTTTTTTATCATGTACCGGAATCAAGCGAATCGGACTGCCTAAGTGGACCGAGCCTTGGCCGAGATGAGTTTCTGAACTTTGATTTGGACGGTATAGATGGCACCCAGAAATCAGGAGAGTTGGAATGTATGATTGGTAGTTCTAGTCCCATCTTTGCTTCTTCCAATTTAAAGTGCGAGTAGTGTTCCTCTCCTCTCTCTTTCTCTCTCTCTCTCAATCAGAGCACTCTTTAGAAAATGGAGCTCTCTCTCTCTCTCAAAAATTGTATTTTATAGACATAATACGGATGAGAGGAATAGAACCTAAATCACATATACCTAAACTATACCCAGACTTACCATAAAGTACAAATACTCTACTAACCATTCCTATTATATATTAATTACAATATATATTTTCTATATCAGTTTAGTATACGATATATAGTTTCTTTTCACATTCCCTTTCAAACTCAAGATGCTATGACAGAGAGCAGCTGGAGTTTGATCATTCAATTGTAGAAATGAGCAGTTAAATCTTCAGGTGCACATTCAAATTGTTTGATAAACAAGCACAGAGCTCAACGACTCAACAGTGACGAATCAACAAGCCTAAAAAATAAATGTGAGAACAGAGCAACAAATCAGAACTCAACAATAAAAAAAAAACTTCAGATTTTCACCGGAGACAGAAAAATAGTCGAGACAACCGAGAAAAACAAAATGGCACTTGAAAAACCAACAGATTCAGCAGCTCGCAAACCAGGACATACATGATCGACTTGATCATCAAAACAACCGATACTATGATGAACTCAGAAAATCTTATTTTATATATTGTTCTTCCTTTTTTTTTAGTCAACTTTGTTTTGGATGCGGTTTCTATAATGTTGCAACCTTAAACAATCCAATTAAGGCGCACCTCTAAATTTTATCATAACATTTAATTTTGTTGTAAAACTTTTTTAGGATTTTCTTAAAATCTATTTTCATATCTAATTAGAAGATTTTAAACTCCAAAAATAATTAAAATCAAGGAGATCTATAAACATATGAAAATCTTGAAAATGGACGGCCTAGATAATGTGTTGCAAGCTGCACTATTTTTGAGACTCAAAATTTTTTTTTTTTATATTTATACATCTCAATATTGAGATGTTCAAATAGAGGGTTTTTCAACATTAAAACAACATTTTCAATAGATTTTTGAGGTGCATCTGTAATTCTACATATTAAGGTTGCAACCTTATATAAACTTTTTCTTTTTGTTTTTAAGGTTCCATGGCTCATTGGAACCACCATAATACTGATTTTCAGCCTTTCACATGCCGAATCTTCTTCAATAATCCGCCTCTCTCTCTCGTAGCAACGATGCTCTCTGGATATCGTAGCTCTAACAATGACAGGACTTCCTCCAAATATCGGATCTCTCTCGTTCAGTCGCAATTTTGTCTCTCTACTTATCTAGCGCACATGGCTCTTTTTGCGCTCTCTCTCTCTCTAAATACAGAACTCTCACCTCTCTCTTGGCTTGTGCTCTCGGCTTCCAATCAGCAATGGCATTTTGCGCATTTTCAACATAGAAAGCAACCATGGGATTTCAGAGGTCGATGTCTTCTATGTTTCTAACTCTGCCAATGGCGAATTAACTACCATACCTTTCTTACCTAATTCAAGAAAAACTTTGATTGCATTTTATTTGCATCCAGTTATAAGAAAATGTTTGGGATATGCTAAAATGAGGTTATAAAGTTATTAAAAAGAACCCAATATCCATCATCATCGGTCCAATCTTTTTAATTATTAAGGGTTGGCTATGTAAATCCTAGTCCACCATTCTACTCTATCAAGAGTCATACCCTCAACGAGGTCAAAGTCCTCATATGTCTTTTCTCACTACTTCCAATCGTATCATTTTGGCCCTACACCTTGTCCTTTTTAAGCATTCTATTAAGACTAACTCGCACCTCCTAACATGTGTTATACTGAGTCTTTTTTTTTTGACAAATATTCGTAACTTTTATTGCTGACTAAGAAAAGGAAATTACACCATTAGAGATTACAAGAGAAGGTAGGGAAGCACCACCCCTAGCCAAAGAGTCTGCCAAAAAGTTTGGTTCACGATAAACATGGTTGAAAGAAACTGACAAAGTTTCTACCAAATCCATAACCTGTAACCAAAGGGATCGGAGCTCTCAGGGAACTTTCTGCTCTTTCTTACACCATCTAATAACATTCAAAGAATCCCCTTTAATCCAACAATTTATACCAAGATTCCTCTCAGCCAAGATTTTCACCCCGTTCAGTAAAGTACTTAATTCAACAAAATTGGCAGTTTTGACCCCAATCGGGCCGGCATAGGAAAAAATGATATTACCCGAATAGTCACGCAAAACACCACATATCCTAGACTGATCTGGATTACCCTGAGAACTACCATCAACGTTCAACTTCAAACTTCCAGAAGAGGCGCAGTCCAAATACTTCGTGGTCTACATCTGAGATTCCCAAGAAGGAACATGTTGCCATAACATCAACCTTGTAAATGCCCCATCCCTCTTTTGTCACAGACAACCAAGACCAAATCGAAAGTTTGATATTATTTAATATCCTCTCAAGAAGCAGATAATTCCCATCAAAAGTCCTATTTGTTTCCTTCCACACTTCCCACAGAATGACATCTTTCGCTATTTTCCATATAATTTTTCCAATCTTAGACAAATGGGAAATAAAGAATTGTGATACTATCCTTGCAACCAATGAAGAAAGTACCAGATTGATCTTGAGAATCCCAAAGAACCAAAACCAAATTCTTACTGTGAATGAGCAATGGATGAAAGGTGTGCACCAAACTCCCCGTTAGCTTTACAAACAAGATA